GCGTTAAAAAGTACGGATACATGCCCCTAATGAATTTTCTCTATAATGAATAGTTTTTGGCCAGGGAGGACGGGTATACCTTTAAAACTGAGTTTTAAATAATTTTAGAAGCAAGAGGGATTGGAATATATCAAAGTTATGATATGGAAAATGTAGGGAATTCAATCCTCTATCAATTCATAATTTAGTAAAAATTTTTCATAATGGCACCGGGAGGAATGGTAGGTGTTTTATTGTGACTCTACTAGAAGTCATCGAGTAAATCTAATGGGTGCGTTGAATAGAGCTCAAAAAATAAACAAGGTTCCCATTTTAAAATTTTCAAATATCTATCAAGATAACTGTTCTAGAGCATGTCAAAGTTGGCAATTTTACATTGAATATTGCCATTGAAAAGGTGTTTGCATAACTTTATTGTTGTCTACTTTTTCAATGGCAATATTCAATGTAAAATTGCCAACTTTGACATGCTCTAGAACAGTTATCTTGATAGATAAGGCGAATAGCACATCGTTGGAAAGAGAATAAAAAATAATCAAACCCGTCTATCGGGATTTCCCTGGTAAATGTTTCCATAAGTGATAGGGTGGCACAGTAGTTTATTATTTTGAATAAAATAGTTAGGTAAAATGAATAAAAGTTTTGACTGGATCATCAAATTACCCTCAAAATATGGATATGATTTAAATTTTACACCTTTAAGATATCTTGAGAAATAACGGATCTAGAGCACATCAAACTTTAAGTGTTTTACAGATTCAGCAAAAAATGGTCAAATTTTTAAAATGCCCTAGCACATTCAAGATATGATTTAAATTTTACACCTTTAAGATATCTTGAGAAATAACGGATCTAGAGCACATCAAACTTTAAGTGTTTTACAGATTCAGCAAAAAATGGAGTTTAAAAATTTTACGGGATCGTGTAAGTAAATCACTATATAAAATTTTTAAGTTTTAACTTTAAAATAAATGTAAAATTCGTCAAAAGCAATCTAATTAGTGAAATACCTAAATTTTCTTAAAAATCAAAAATCTTATTTACCTGTGCTCCCTATCTCATATTGTTACAATTACCAGGGAAATCCCGATAGACGGGTTTGATTATTTTTTATGCTCTTTCCAACGATGTGCTATTCGTCTTTCTGCGACTTGTAGTTTTTGCTGTACAGATAACCTACCTGTGCTAACATACCGGTGGAGATTTTCTCAACAGAGAAGCTCACTTATGTATTTTCGTTTTTGGTATCAACTCCAAGTTTTTATTAAAGCTATGATCTATCCGTTACTGAATAAATCTCACCTCGCAAAACTTTTGCAAACACCTAATATATAAAGGTATATAATATGGCATAATTTATAACACTCACAATTATTACAGGCAGATAATTTAATAATTTATATTCTAACCTGGTATATTTATTTTGCATAATCTATACATATGTTCTGAAGATTTATTCAACTCATTTTCCCCAATAATGGGTTTATTTGTCATAAATGTCTGCAATTGTGATAAAATGTGCGAACATTCAGATCTTTGCCTCCAATCTGTTGAACCTTTTTTGCGATACATATCGTTAGCACTCATTGACACCAATAATGCCTTCATTTTATACTTCAATTCATCCATATTATCATACTTTCCAATTCTATAAAAGTTGAAATTATTTATAACCTTTAAAAATAAATTTATTAAGAATAGTACTCAAATACAAACATACTTTCCGTCCATTATATCCTTTTCATTGAGACCAAAAATTTTTGCCCCAATTAGGGATAGACTGTAGATATCTATTAAGTGGTCGTATTCAATTGGATATGAATTTACTTCCGGTGCCATATAGTCAACAGTTTCCACATCTGCCGTATGTTTGGTTTTAGACATAAGAAACGGATCACAACTTAGGACCTCTTTAGCCAAACCAGTCACATAATTTTATAATCCCTTTCCGTGTAATCAACACATTATCCGGTTTGAGATCTCTATGAATGATATGCTTTTCGTGCAAATATTGCACACATTCTGTGAGTTCCCAAAACATTGATACGATATATAAAACTCAGAAATAGTCATCAATTCATTAAACAATGATTTCTTAGTTTCCAAAACATTGTTGAGATTATCGATACATAACTCCATTTGAAAGTAAAGACAATTGAATTCAATCCATGAATAGTAGTATTGAATCACAAACTCTGAACGAACTTTGATTAGACTTTTGGTTTCATTTAAAACGTTTTGTCGCTCTTTGTCTGATAAACCTTTAAATAATTAATTTATAATTTATATTAACTATAAATAATTATATAATATATAAGTTTGAGAGATAGTAACTAATTCTACACAATAAGCGTACTCTGGGCGGTGACTGACCCGAGTTTGACCACTCAGGCATGTTGTTCAACTTTATACTCAAAAAGTTACTAAGTAAAAAATATATAATTATAAAAGTTATTTATTTATTATTTTATTAGATTAATTATAATATGATTTAATGGTAAATTAAGTGTAAGGAAGTTTCGTATGTTAACTTTGTTATATTCGTCGCGAACTTTGTATACTTTTCCAAAAGCACCCTCACCAATTAGAGAGATTTTTTTATACTGGTATGTTTTATTAAACTGTGACTTATTTCTTACTAGCATACGTAGATTTAATTATCCAAAATTGTTAATTGCAATTTATCATTTGTATTACATAGCTTTTCACAAAGTTATTTTATTTATAAATGGTAATAAAACAACACAAAATTAATTATGAATATCATGATTTTGTAGATTATTTGTTGCATTTGTATTCAAACTATTTTGCATTTCATTTAAAAAGAAATCATCAAATGTTGTAAAATTTGTTTCCATTATCCTTGATAAACTCAATTCATATATTTTATTATTATTGATCTGGAAACTAAGTTCGTATAAAATCGTTTAAATGAAAACGGCTTTAATTAAAATTAATACAAAAATATAGTTTTTCCGTATTTTCAATGTATTTAAGTTGTCCAACGGACAGGCACCTAAAGCCCCCGGTCGGCCCACTCAGGTTCAGTCCACCACAACCACTCCAGACACCTAAACAAGTATTTAAAAAATTATTTTCATAAATATTATTAATTTAATTATATAGATAATATAGAAGTTATTGTTTATGACAATAAACAGGATATAATTGATGGGACAGTCGAAGGTAACTCATGCATACAAATACAAAGTCCATCGTTTGTACAAATGATGGGTAAACTGACCACAAGTGAGGATTGTTTGGTACTAAACATATGGACACCTACTGTGGACAAAAGTGCATCGAAATCACAGCTAAAATCTGTTATGTATTGGATATACGGCGGGGCACTTACTATTGGATCAGTATTTCAAAAATTTTATAACGGAAGTGTTTTGGCCACCAATGATGTGGTCATTGTTTCCGTTAACTATAGGGTCGGACAGTTAGGCTTTTTATATTGTGTGCTTTTCTATCGATTTAATAAATTATGTAAATAACATTTTAAAAATAAATAATCCAGCACAACTCACATATTTTTAGCAAAATTAGTCCATATCTCCATAACTTCTAAACTGAAATCATAGTCAGTTTCCGTAAACATTTGTGGAGTCCTAACGGGATCACCAAAAATATATGGGAGTTCTGCGGTGTGACATATGGTGTGTTCATCGCAACCAAGCATTGCAAACAAATTTGTCTGATAATTAAATCTATAGAAATAGACGTCTCGACCACTTTTGACAAATCTTTTGGCAAACCCATAGGTGGGGCACACCATAAACATATCACCAAAAAGTTGACCGAAAGCTTGCTTTAAGTCATGAGGATTTTCGGGGTCTCTATTCTGGAGGTAATAATCGGACACTTTCTGGACGTCTATGTTATGGTAGATCTCTCTCTGGAGTTCTATTAATTCATGAAATTTCTTTATATTAAAATCTGCACTCAATTGTGGGAACATCATCATTGCTAGCATATGACCCTCGTCTTTGGTCGCACCGGCCATCACATCCACATCTGATATATAAATTTTATATCAATTAAAACTTTTATATTTCTAAACAATTTGATATTCACCGGAATTATATTTATTAGTTTCAAAAGCCTTTTGTGGTAAAACGGGTAGGAATTCAGTGCCAAACACAGGCCACGTGACACCACCCAAACCAACTTCAGCCTCAGTCGGCTTAAGAAATAGGTTCGGGTCCTCAATGGCTCGCAAACAGTCCAACCATTTGTAATCATACGGATCACAACCCAATTTGCGGGCCGTTTCCTTAGCTTTACTCAGCGCCTCTACAGTTCCCAAAACTGGTCTATCCTTATGAAACATTTCAGTCCCGCTCTGGAGTATAGCCCTCTTAAACAGACTCTTAGATAGGGGTGAGAGTAGGTGTGCCGATGTGGACCAACTGCCGGCGCTCTCACCAAATATGGTGATCTGATCCTTGTCTCCACCGAATTGATGAATATTTTCTCGAACCTATTAATAAAACATTAATTAATTAACACATATACATTGTATACAATAATATAAGTTATAGTTTTTTGCAAACATTAAACAAATTAATAGTAATTTAATTAAATTAATATATGTACCCATTTCAATCCTAAAAGTTGGTCATAAAACCCAAGATTACCGGGTGCTGTCTGATCGCCACCATATAAAAAGCCTAACTGTCCGACCCTATAGTTAACCGAAACAATGACCACATCATTGGTGGCCAAAACACTTCCGTTATAAAACTTTTGAAATACTGATCCAACAGTAAGTCCCCCGCCGTATATCCAATACATAACAGGTTTTAGCTGTGATTTTGATGCACTTTTGTCCACATTAGGTGTCCATATGTTTAGTACCAAACAATCCTCACTTGTGGTCAGTTTACCCATCATTTTTTCTAACAATGGACTTAGTGTTTGTATGCATGAGTTACCCTCCACTGTGCCATCAATTATATCCTGTTTATTGTCGTAAACAATAACTTCTATATTATCTATATAATTAAATTAATAATATTTATGAAAATAATTTTTTAAATACTTGTTTAGGTGTCTGGAGTGGTTGTGGTGGACTGAACCTGAGTGGGCCGACCGGGGGCTCAGCATAAGGTATATTCAAGAATTGATTGATTTTGTGATTCACAACATTCAGTGTCTGTCCCCTCACTCCACCCGAACTCGTATTCACGACAACACTATTACTCTCATCGCAAACACACCTTTCAATGAAACACACGATTAATACAAAACACAATTTATTTGTAAAAATCATTTTTAAAACATTAATTTCAAAATCAATTCACAAAACGCAACAATAAATATCACAAACTTTATAAAGTATAACACTTTTATACAGTATTCAATATTTTCATACTTAATGCCCTAAACTGACTAAAAAATAAACGTTTGAAACTTGATTACACAACACAATACACATCATAACTGATAACATAATGTCTGGGTATAGTAAAACCTTAATGCACTTAACGTGTGCACTAAGGAAGGTCATTGAATATTGCCATTGAAAAAGTAGACAACAATAAAGTTATGCAAACACCTTTTCAATGGCAATATTCAATGTAAAATTGCCAACTTTGACATGCTCTAGAACAGTTATCTTGATAGATATTTGAAAATTTTAAAATGGGAACCTTGTTTATTTTTTGAGCTCTATTCAACGCACCCATTAGATTTACTCGATGACTTCTAGTAGAGTCACAATAAAACANTTTGACATGCTCTAGAACAGTTATCTTGATAGATATTTGAAAATTTTAAAATGGGAACCTTGTTTATTTTTTGAGCTCTATTCAACGCACCCATTAGATTTACTCGATGACTTCTAGTAGAGTCACAATAAAACACCTACCATTCCTCCCGGTGCCATTATGAAAAATTTTTACTAAATTATGAATTGATAGAGGATTGAATTCCCTACATTTTCCATATCATAACTTTGATATATTCCAATCCCTCTTGCTTCTAAAATTATTTAAAACTCAGTTTTAAAGGTATACCCGTCCTCCCTGGCCAAAAACTATTCATTATAGAGAAAATTCATTAGGGGCATGTATCCGTACTTTTTAACGCACTTTCGAATGGTGTACTTAGATTCCCTCTAGGACTTATAGTTTTTGCTCTAGACCAGATACCAGTCCCCATACCAGCCCTTTACAGTAACAAATCTGTGTCTTCGGGAAAAGGAAGATCATTAAAAAACGAAAAAAGTATATTTTCAAATTATTTTTATTTGATCTAGTTTACAAGTTAATCCCAGTCCAAATACTTTTCGAACAACTCAATACTTGTAATTCTAAACGCAACAAAATTAAACTAATGTTTTGTAAGACTTTATATAACAAATTGTCACTGCTATATATGATAAACCGGTTTGAAATCATTTGCAAAAGTACAAAATAAGTGCTTAAAATAACATAATGTATTATTGCACTAAATGTTAGTACAATTCTTATGTATTTAAATACAATTACAATTACTTAACCTGTATTGAATTTACTTTATAATGAAACATAAAACTGATTTATTATTCACAAAATTAGTATTAATTATTATTAGGAGTGATAATAACGTGAAATTATTAATTTCTAAGTCATTTGTTAAATTAAACATCATTTTAGATGTTTTTTAATAACATATTTTTAATATCAGATAAATGGGTGGAAAGTATAGAAAGTGTGAGAAATCATTGAAAAGACAAACTGTATTAAAATGTTTTACAATTATGGCATAACACAGGGCCTGTCAACCTCAGTTGGTGCCAGATCAGATTAGCCAAAACATTGTTTTTTACAATTTTAAACATGTCAATTTAAAACATTTGACTATTTCTATAATTTTATATATATTATCAGGATAATCTTAAGCATAACCACATATTTAATTGCCACTGTCACGAATATATCCCCAATTGTAAGTACAGGGTGTAAGAGTAAAAAACAAATATTTATATTTAAAAATATTAAATTTATTTACAATACAAAAATTATTTCTTAAATCACGGTAAGAATCAACTTAATTCTGCATTAATTTTTTTTTAAAAATTCTAAGTTAAATTAAATATTTTGTTAATTATATTACATTAACTGTTAATTAAATACTATTAATTGTACACAAAATTAGCTGTACTGGTATTCAGTGATAACGACGACATAGTTTGTCATTTCATATCAAGACTCATGAGTGAACAGCGCACTGACGGGGGTTGGGGTGGGAGGGGGTGGGGGTCCAGCTTTATTGAGGAGACGTGTTATGCTGTCCTCGCACTCTATCATCGCTTCCGTCAACTATACAACTGTCCGGAGAAGCAATCCATTCATAAATGTCTTTTATCTGCGACAGAGTTCGTCAACAATGATATTCATCGCGATTTCGCTCCGTTTTGGTTGCAAAAGGTGTTGTACTGTCCTATAAATCTGGTCAAAACACTAATAATAGCCTCAAAATATGCTCTAGCTCATATTACTAAAGTGGAATGAATAATATTTTTTAAATTAATATTTTAAATAATATTTTAATAATAGAGATATAGTATTTATAAGCAATAATTATTTATCAATAAAAGTGACTTATTAATGAAACAGAAATGAAATGAATTAGCAATTATAATTTATAACACTTATATTTAATAAGTGAAAATGTCACAATTATACTTCGGACAAAAAGATCTAGAACATATCATAACATTAAAAACTAGAGCGACTATATTAAGTTGAAGCGCTTATAGTTTGTTCCCCAGAGAGAGAGAGAGAGAGAGAGAGAGAGAGAGAGAGAGAGAGAGAGAGAGAGAAAGAGAGAGAGAGAAAGAGTCTAGTGCTTTGGGCAGATAAATACACCCCAAGTCCTGATTGTCTGTACGTAAGAGATTCCGAAGCATAACAAACTTAATTGCACTAAAATTAACTGGAACAGTTTTGTTAGTTCATTATATAATTGTTCTAAACGATTCTTACAATTTACAATGATAATTCTAATAGCTAATATTAGTACAATTACAGATTACAGTTATGTACCAAAGTATGATTACAGTTTAGTGCAAGTGTTAGTGCAATATAGTGCAAATGAACCATGAAAGGTTCTACATTTGTAGTAAGAATCCACTTCTATATAAACTCGGTGTCAAAATATAATTCATTCAAAAACATTAAATCACACTCTTTTGAGTAGATTTAGAAAAGTTAATCAAATTTATAACTTTTTAATATAATTCCCTGAAATGTCCGTATCATTCAATTTTAGCGGTAAAGTAGTGCTGATCACGGGCTCGAGTGCGGGTATTGGCGCCGCCACTGCCGTACAGTTCTCCAAAGCCGGCGCTCAGGTTGTGGTCACCGGTAGGCGCGCCGACAAAGTGTCAGAAGTGGCCAAAGAGTGTCTCAAAGTATCACCGAATGGGACGAAAGCGCTGCAAGTGGTGGCGGATGTGACTAAAGTGGATGACTTGCGACGACTTGTGGACACAACTATCAAACACTTCGGGAAACTCCATGTTTTGGTGAACAACGCCGGCGCCGGCTTTCCGATAGGCATCGATAATAAGGACTATTACTCGACGTATTTGAAAACAATGCAATTAAACCTGAATTCTGTGGTCTATTTGACGCACATATGTGTCGAGCATTTGGAGAAAACAAAGGGAAATGTGATAAACATCTCGAGTGTAGCCGCTCTGCAATCCGTGAGTAGTTTTTGTAACTTATTATAAACAATAGCAGACTATTGCCCACTTATTTGTTAGTGTATTACTAATAACGGTACTGGTTCATTAACATTAACCATAGGGTGATGGCGCTTCACCATATCATATGTCTAAGGTTGCGATGGATATGTTCACCAAATGTATGGCCGCAGAGTTGGGACCCAAACGTATCCGCGTTAATGTCATCAAGTAATTCAATTTTATCAAGATATTTATAATTTAGTTCACATAATTCTATAATTAATACTATTTTGCTTTCCCAAAACAGTCCTGGACCAATTCGCACGGAAATTTTAAACGCCGCTGGACTGCCCCAGGACAAAATTGACAAACACAACGACTACTTCTCCGGTGTATTGCCGTTGGGACGTGTGGGTGACCCTGATGACATTGCCGACTCCATACTCTACTTGGCCAGTGACCATGCTGCTTTTGTAACGGGCACTAATCTGATATCAGATGGTGGGGCCATTGCTGCCAACGCTATCAACAGTAAAGCCCTTAAGGAGGTGCTGTTTCAGTAAACCTTTATCTGTTTTGTGAAAACAAAACACTTTAAACTCTACTTTAATATTGATATTATGAAACTAAGAAAGTATTGAACATTAAAGCAGAATTTAAATGCATATATTATTTTATATCTACAGATATTGATATTATATAAATGCATCAAATAATTACATTTTAAATTATTTTTATTAGTTCAACTTTAGATTTGCAAATTATAGTTAATATTTTAAACAATACTAGTAATACAAATTTATTTTATGATACTGTATTAAAATATTTGTTGATCATATTTTTTATTAGTCTGAATTCAGAAGTTAATATAAAATGATTTCTAAATTCTCTTTTTTAATATTTAAATTATTGCAGAATTTTATGTTTTTAATTTAAAAATTAATTTTAATAAAGTATTAGGTACAAATGTACAATTAAGATTAAGTTATACTTATGGTAAAATAGATTTAATAAAAAATTGATTAAAATTAAGCAGTAGTTGACCAAGCATGTTTAGTCAATTTGTAATGATCTTCGAGTTTAACCAAATCTGCGCTCAAATCCCACAACTGTTCCGCACTTTTATCATCCCTTGAATTTGTGGGCAAATTAAACATCATTTTAAGATTTAGATGTTTTTTTAATAACTTAATTTTAATATCAGATAAATTGGTTTAAAGTATAGAAAGTGTGAGACATCATTGAAAGGAAAAACTGTATTCAAATGTTTTACAATTATGACATGACATACGCACAGGGTCAACCTACTTTGTACTCGCTCTAGTTTTAAATGTTATAATTTGTTTTAGAATCTAGATCCTTTATAGAATGGTTTATTGTTTTTATTATATATTTATTATTATATTTTATTCTAGTTTTATTTTAATTTTTAATGAAAAATATTTATTAAAATACATTTTGATATTAACTAGCGCATATGCTTAATTAATAAATTTTTAAAAATTGAATTAATTTATGCATTAACAAAATTCACTGTCAAGTATTAGTTATGCTTGAGTTTTGGTTACATTCACCATAACTGACCCTAACCTGAATATAAGCCCGGGTGACTATTTCTATAATTTTATATATATTATCAGGATAATTTTAAGCATAACCACATATTAAATTGCCACTGTCACGAATATATCCCCAATTGTTAGTTTATTTGTTCATAGTAGTCGTATATTTGATTGGATGGTCACATGGGTTGGCATATACTGTACTGTGCTCAATGCACTAAACAAACTCTACACTTGTTTAGCATTGAAAATCTTAGTAATCAGAAAAGCCTTAAATTATCGGTTTATATAATATATCGGTGTTTAGGGGAGGCGCCAGCAGTTTATATGAGTGTCATAAAAGTTGTAAGATATGTGTTATGCTATAAAAAGTGAGATTTAATTATAAATTTTTTCATAAATTGGTATTTCATTGAACTGTTGGAAAATATCGTATGATTTAATATACTTATTTCCTTTACAGCGAAATTGTTTAATATACAGTGATTTGTGCAAATATGTCGACCAATAAGTTTACGAAAAAGGAGCTAGACGATATGGACAAATATATGGCCAAGCATTGGATATTAACCTCAATATCCCTGGTCATTGTGGGTATCGTTGCCTACGGCCTACTCAACGGTCTCATAGATTTCGGTCGTTTCCAGTCAACCAAAGCCCAGAACTTAACACAATTAGCGCCGAGAATTCAGTACGTGTTTCAACACTCGACTCCGGGTGTGGTTTGGCTACTATTCTGCATGTTTTATGTGATCAGCAAACGGGTCAACACACCGGCCGTGGATCCCAGTGCCGGACACGAGGGTCGCACAGAATTGG